ATGAGCATTCATATCTAAATAAAATACAGAACAAAGCATGGAAGAGAATAGAAATAATACTAATTCTAAAGGCACCTGTAACTTCTTCGAACACTGCGTTCTACGATGTTAACATCCGAAATATCGCAGCAACCTGAAGCCTCATCAGTTATCTGTTGCTTCAGCAAGAGAATTTGCATTTGTTTTGCTACAGGCATAGAGCAATTCATTTCCGCAAGGATTACTTTACTATTAAATCACTGGCTTTTATCGCTTACAGATGTATTAGTCAGCATCATTGAGTAGTTATACGACCCTTAGAGAGAAAAATACGAAAGTTCCTGGATTTCTAGCAATGTTGTCATTTTTCGAGGTGGTTAAATGGGCAAGAATAAATTGGTGCGATAACAGAGCCACAAAAAAAAAGTGATAATGGCCTCCATTATTGATTACCTCGATCCCGTCACTAGGTATACTGGTTTGTTTTGTTTCTTGTTACTTTACCCTGCCTATGCACCTCACTACATAGGGCAGCCGAAAAAAAAGACGGGATAATGCTCCTAGAGTGCTTTCTGGGTTCATATGTATGTAGGTATCGTGGTGCGCTTCCGAGGTTTGATTAACAAGGACGGAGGGGAAGTTCCATACAAATCGTTGGACTTTGAAAACTGTAGAAACTTGCGTTTATATTTTTACTGTGCCAGTTCTATTCCCTGTGTACACTTCCGAGAACAGGAGACAACCACGTTACTTGCCATCCAATCTCAACGATCCTTTCGTAAGGAACAAACTCTAGAGTATAGTGAGTCAACCAGATTCACATTTTCCACTATATTATGTAACATTTTTAATTTTCATCAATTTTCTTATTGGAAAATCCATTCGTTGTGTTAAACGAAATGGAGCTCTCTCTATCAAATACTTTTCTGACTTTCTAGAAATTTTTTTCGTCTTCCGAATCGGTGGCGATCCTGCACTCGATAAAATGATGTCAGTTTTGAAGCGATCCGTCTAAAGACCACATGAAAAGTTTCAGTAGCGTGTACACGTCATACTGCGTCGATCACATCAAATGATAGTCGAACTTATAGTAGCGTTCAAAAGTCTTTGGCCGAATGCTATTACCCTTTTTCGTTCATGACTTTTTTCTTAGTGGAGCAAATCGCGCGAAATTTTGTATGTTTAACTAAAGCATATTTCACACTATCCAACTGTTTGACTGCAAAGCATCAATATCCGCATAACTAGGAACAAGACGTGTTGTGGGAGTAGATTTTGATGAAAGAAAGGTAGGCCACGTCTGCAATAATTCGCACCTTGTATGCGTTTTTCTATTCTACTGTGTTCGGCATTACCATTCGTACACTGTAGACATGGCGAAAAGAAAAGAATTCCCAGAAGGACCATCATCCGTATTTCCGGTTGATTTTGAATTCAAGCTTTTGGGATATCTGGGACATGATCAGATTCAAGTTAATGTTGGTAAATATTTACACTACCCCCATGCTACACACATTGAAATTTTGCATGATTAGATCCAGTAGCAAAGGAGTTACGACTGAAAACTACGACTGAAGAAGCATTTGGCCGTGCATTTTGAGCGTTACAGTATGTCCATTATTCCCTGTGAACAATCACAGTGTATGAGAAGTAGCGATCAGAATCGGCAAAGCTTTCCTTGCATTTTCTGAAATACGTACGCAAGTCTACTTTCCTCAACTGACGTTTGAGCCAATGAGCTGTAACCGACTCCTTTTAGTTTCAGACGTTTATACTTCATTAGAGTCTGAGAAGATACTGCCAAATACAGCCTGAGCGTGAATACTCCATTCTGACCCCGCGATGTTGAAGCTTGTATTGAACTCGCACCTCATTTTTCAACTTCAGGATGATCGTTAACAGAACCTCTTTATATGCCGTTTACCATACACTTACTCCTATTTTCTTTAGATTTTACAGTTCTACCTCCTGATCTAAGAATTAGTGATAATCAACTCAATTCGCAACCAATTTCCTGTTTTGGGTTCTTCCCATTCACACCGTTTCCAAACAGCCATTCGAGTTCGCTTCGGGGTTAGCTACTACATGATCGATGCTTGATTGTAATTTATTCTTGTAGTCTATTTTTGTAGTGTTTGCAAAAGAGTCTTGTGATTTTTTTTTGCCTCGGCAGGGTGCTACTAGCCAGAAACGTTGAAAATGTGACGTTGAGTTGAAAATCTAACATTGACAGTTGGAGCATGATGACATAGACCACTTGTATCTATATTAGGCCATCTCATTCAAAAGCATGCCATTATCTGAGGGTTTGGTCGGAAAAGGAAACATACTTATTCCACCGACATTGTCTCGATCGGAAGCTTGTACATTTATTTACGGTAATGCCCAATTTCTTCGTCGTGGCTGCGAAAATAAGTCGGTTCAACCTTTTGAAGCGATTAAAATCATCCATGCATTGACCAACCATTGCGCATCTCATCGACCTGCAGCAACGATTGTGAGAAGACTTCGTATCGCAACAGAAAAGTAAAAAGAACTATGGCGTATATGAAACTGTCAATGTTCCACGGTTGAGGGAGTCATCGAGAAAACCACCCAACACTTTTTTTTAAAAATGTGATAACCCATGTGGCTCACTTAAAAGATTTGCGGTAGAGTCATAAGATCTTTACTCTCCTGCTTGTCACAGCACCAATACATCAATGGCTAGCTCCATTCATGGTGTATTGTGGCAACGATTGAGTAGAATTTTTGCGAAGTTGTGCCGAATCGAAAGACAATATTTTTTGACCATTCAAGTCACACAATCCAGATTTACCACATGATTTTGTTCCATCCATGAGCACTTCCCTCCTTGTTGATGAAGTGATGAGAAAGGACCTAAACAAGAGAATGAACCAAAATCACGATATCTAACCTTGCTGTTAGTCAAGCATTTTTCGGTTTTTCGAATATGGTCCGCGTCCGTATAGTTACTCATTCGAAACTATGGAGCCTTTCGTTTCTTCATGCTATGTTGCATCAGTCTCTTCTTGTTACATGGTGCTAACCATAAGATATTTGCCTTCTTTGTTCATTTATCTGTATCAAGAGTCGTCAATGACCATCATTTGATCCCTTTTTTGCAATCGAATAAAGCATAGGCTGAGCATCTGACCCAATCTTCTGAAGGTAAACCCCACAAAAACAGCTGCCCACATCCTCAAATAGCGTCGAATATCTGAAAAAAACTCGTACTGGTAGTGTAGTTTTTCAGGGTACGACAACATGGCACAAAGCTGCTTCAGTGAAAACCTACTTTTCATCTGCATTGGCACCTCAGTCGTGCTCGGTATAACGCTTGGTCTTGCTTTGCGAACTTTCGAACTGTCATCTGATACTGTATCTCTACTACAATTTCCTGGCGAGATATTCATGCGACTGCTGAAGTTGATGATTTTACCACTGGTTGTTGCTTCATTGATTTCTGGTGAGCATTTTTTCCTAATGTTTTTGAAAAGTAAACCTTAATGGTCCTGACACGCATCCCAGAGCTCGTCCTCTTCGGTGCGCAGCCTATTTCTTACATATACCGCCCTATACCACCTGCTGGTAACGTGAATTTCAGACTGACTTCCCATGTAGAACCTTAGGTGGAAAGTAGTAACTACACGAAGCGTTCTAGTGGTTCTAGTTCCTTAGCGTTCTCTGAAAAGGACCACATAACAGCCCGATATGTCCCTCGAAGAAGATATACAATCGTACGCGACATCAAATACTGTCACGAAGAATTTAATAGAAATTTCAGCACAAATTTGCAACAATCTACATGAGGAACCTTTCTTTTATAAAAGGCCTGATACATGTTGTTCAGCACTCGCTCAAATGGATGCGGCAAACTCTAGTCTGATGGGCGTCGTGACCTTGATTTACTATTTGATTACAGTATTCTTCGCAACGGTGGTGAGTCATGTTTGGTCATTTATCGGTGGTTTTTCCCAATAACAGGTTACAATCAAGAAACTGACCGCGAAATGTTTTCTTATGCTTTAGCCGGCGGTAAATTACATTCGATGGACTCAAAAAACTGGATAGAAGTTTCTTTGGTATTATACGGAAAATCGCAGAGAGGAAGATTAAAGCCTAATGCCAGTTAGAGGACTTGGCAGCACATTCCTAAGTGAGGTGCCGCTCGGTGTTCTGGAGTAGTATCAATCGAAAAGATGAGGAAGAAATTGGGAAGGGGACAGGCGAGATTTGAATAACTAATACATTAATATTCTGCATCACCTGATCCACCCTCACTCTCGCTCACAGCGCACTGCTGATGCGTCTTTGCTCAAAAATGGGAAGGGAACAGGCGAGAGTTTGAACAACTAATACATCAGCAACCACAACTGGGAATGTTCTGCCTCTAGAATTCAGGAGATCCTTTCTGGTTCCTCTATTCTGAGTGGTTTGTTGCCTAAAGATTTTCAACTATGATCCCTCATGCTCACATCGTGGATGGCGGCAGGGTGTACCTTCGCGCTTTTAGATGGGTCGTGTGTGGGTTATAAAAGTACAGGATGTAGTATCTCATCAGTGTAGTGGTGGCATGCTGCGCTTCTACGACCCACGAGATCATGTTCGAAATACTGTAAGGAAGGCTGTGCTCGTCGTACTCGCCGTGCGCCGAGGAAGATCAGAGAGAATATGAAAGTAGATTGAGGGGTAGCGTTTGTTAGAGGGCTCGTAGGTCTGCTCGGAGCCGATTTTTCCGGAATCCGACCTTCTCTAGATAAACTCTTTGGGTTTAGGCCCATTCAAGTTTGGTGAAGCCAACACCTCACAGAAATGAAAAGACGTTGTACGCCGGTTGGCTTTCGAAAACTGCCTCTCGACGTCGGCTCATTCATTATTAGGCTCTTCATGATTTCTATAGTAAAAAAAANAAAAAAAAGCGTGGCCCATATTAGAAAAGAGAACCAGCGATATTTTCCCATAGTAAAACATCTCTTGGGAAGATGGTTTTACTTGTTATTTTGAACTCGCCATGGTAGTAGAACTTGATCCTTACTTAGTTAGGAATCTTCCTCGTCTTGACGATACATCCAGGAGATCCGAGGCTCGCCTATGGTTTACCTGTTGTGGAAGCACACAAAATCTCGGCATTGGATTCAATTCTGGATCTCATCCGGTGAGTTAGTCTGACTTGTAGGATTTGAATCGGAAAAGTCAATCAGAAACGGCACAATACTACATTGGCTATCTTTCACACTTGGAGTCGATCTAATCGTTGCATCGAGTATTTCATTAACTAAGTCCTTATTAATCAGATCGCCCGGCTGTCGCTGAGCTTACCTCCTTGTGATAGCGTTGTAACGATAGCCTGACCGACCTTCTTTGGAATAAACTATATCTCCCTGGACACGCGATTTGACACAGGGCTAACAGGGCAGGGCAACGATGTTCAGGATGTGGCGATGCTTAGGTTGATCTGTTGCCCCTCTTCATAAAAAATAAACACCAATCAAAAATTCAACTGTAAGACAAACAGAGCCTGATTGGTACTCACGATGTTGTCGACTGATTGTAACACCACTACATATTAAATGTCCTTATCAGCAAAACGTCTTTCTCTACGGATTTCAATAGCTGAGAATCCCAGACCATCAGCGAGCGGTCGGATGAATCTGTCGCATGTTATCAATCCTGCCCACCAGACACCTGTGGGATTTCACATCCCACACCCCCTACTTGGCTCCGCCGTTGACACGAAGGAGGTAATGGATCGTGTGAATCTTGTTTTTAGGGCTCCTTAACAGCTCCTATCAATTGCTATTGCTTCCTACCACCTACAATCACTGTACCCACCCTGCCCCTCCATCCTTTCTAACTCTTAACGCTCCAGATCTTGAGGGATAGGAGCTATGAAATTCCAGACGGACAAACACACACCACATACTTACATGCACCAATAGACACAATTAGTTGATTATATACAGTAGGCTCTGTCAATTGGTATTACTACCTTGTTTCGATCTTTAGTGTTATTCTCTAGGAATATGTTTCCGGACAATATTGTTCAAGCGTCATTTGAAAGATCGCGAACGGTTCATAGAACTAATGTGGTAGCAAGGAACAATGTCACTGTGCAGGAAATCACAAAGGAGGTTTCGGATCAGCGAGGGATGAACATAATTGGTAAGTTAAATATTCGAATGTAAATTACCTTCCTCGATAGATATCAACTTTGTGCTACTTGCCTTTTATACTCCGTTTTCAACATCGGCTTTAGAACATTTGGGACATATCATATGTTTACCACAGATGAAATGGCAAACAGTTGACTCGCTTTTTCCAATGCAAGATTCGAACAACTGCGAATACCTTTACAGCTTGATAGTTTTGCAAGCCAATCGAAAATGGAGCAATGAGCATTAGAAAAATATTAGGTTATTGTGCTCTAGACTCCTCTGAGCACGAAGGAAGCTTTCGTAAGAATTATGCCGCATACGACCCTAGGAGTTTCCTAGGGAGACAACAGAAGACAAGATTAGTACACCAGGGGCTTTGCATAGTACAGTCAAAACATCAACATTATAAAAGGTAAGGATTTTCACTAACACATTTGGACGGACGGGGCGCACAGTCGTAGCTAGGACGTTGGAACGTTTTACTATGTGGGCCAATTGTGGAGACGAATTAGGGCTCATATACAAGTATGCAAGAACATGCGATGGTTAGCCGAGTACAACTCAGTGCACTTACCCTCCCACACGACTGTGGGACCAATTAACCACGTCCAAGAGATGGAAGGCCTGTAGGTTTGAGGTGGTACCGATTGGCAATTCAATTACAGATCAAGACCTGCGATAGTTTAGTGATGGTGGTATGCCTTCACATCACCTCAGCTTAGAATAATTATATTATTAAATGGAAAATTTTCGGGATGAAAATAGGGGGGTGAAAGGAGCGCTACGCTAAGACGGTAGCGCTGCTTGTTCTTCGGCACATGATGGTGATTCCCCAGGAATAGCCGTAATCGTCTGCTGGAAACTTCGTCCTTCCCACCAACAGCAACTGCGCGATCGAGTGGGATGAGCGCAGTACGCCGTTTCGGTACAATTACCACACCTTACCATGGAGGCCGAACAAGCGTAGGCCTCGTCTCAAGCGCTCACCTTCCATCTGCTGTGTTTTCCCAAAATGGACAATCAAGAAACAATCATTAATTTTCCTTTATAATCAGAAATGGAGGTATTTCAGGTATAATCGTGTTCTGCATTGGGTTTGGTGTAGTATCGTCCTTTTATGCAGAAAAAGTTCGAGTTGTTGTGGACTTCTTTGTGGCCTTGGACAAAATTATCATGAAGCTGATGCTTTCCGTGATGTGGTACGGTTTTCTTTGAGTTTTTGAGATGCTCCCAAATGGTCTAATGAAATCCTGTTTGGAGGTTCTCTCCTTTCGGCATCACTAGTTTGATATGTGGCAGCCTGTTGGAGCTGGATGACATATGGATAGCAGCAGGAGCAATGTCAAAGTGAGTTCGTGTTTGTTTCATGGGCTCTAATTTCAGTTGAACATTTATAAGCAGATGAAGTTATGAAAATATATAAATTGTATATCCATCTATTGTTGATGCAATAATAATTTCTTCTTAGTAGTTATACAATAGAATAGAATATGACGCTCAGGCTGGTGGCGGCTGAGCTACCGAAATAAGTCTACATCACTAACCATGAGCAACGGTCTTTCATCGGATCGATTCCAAAGTCGAGTGATTTCTTGATTCTCCGGAAAGCAGTTGAGGTGTGTTGGATCGCAGCTAGGAACCACAAATTATCAGTAAGGAAGAGTGTGTGGCTATAACCGATAGGCTCGCGCATTTCCCCGAAATCTAGAAATTTTGAAATTACGGTGAGGGTGAGGTTGGGAAATTGGTAGACTCTCCCATTGTATGCAGGCGCTAATCTCAGGCTGATCGATCTAAGGCCGAATTGTCGAAAGGTTAGCCCTGAAATATCTCAAGGGCCGTAGCAAGCACATACACTTCTTCTTCCAGTGCTCACTACCTTAGAAAATTGTCTTCTAACGACCCTTGATGAGTGCAAAAAAATACCTGTCGGTTATATTTACTGGGAGAGGCTATGACACTAGAAGCACCGACGAGTGGCTTCGGTACGAAATCTTCATATGAAGAACGCAACAAGTGCAACTCAGTTTCTTAGAGTGAGGAACTCCCAGAAGTTGAGAACGGACCTGCATGATTTAGGGGAACCTTTTCTTGTACGCGAACAGCTTGACTGCTACGCGTTTTATATTTCTTGCGCGACCCAACACGCGAGACTCTCAAATGCTAACTATTAGGTAAGAAATGTTTATCTTCAAATTAGTGAACGCATGTTACTTGAGATATGATGAATGGAATAGAGAGCGAAAAACTCCAAACAATGTTAGAAGAATTCTCTCACGTTTTCGCTTTCTCCTTATATGTAGCCATTTCGCGGGCGATCGTGGCGCTTGATCTGCTCGTGCGGGAATAACAGTGAGACGGCTTGATGTCACTGGTGCATTTTTGATTTTTTTGTTATAGGCATATTTTTAGTTTCATACTTGATATTTAAATATGAAATTGTGTCTCGTTTATGGAATCATTTCGGCGTAGCCAAACGTTTACTTATCGTTAGACAAATAGTATCGTATAACCCATCCTGCAAGGCAACACGTGAAACGGCTTTGAAACACTGTCTTAAGCAACACCTTTATTAGCCTCAGGGTTCGAGAATACGAAGTGATTCGTACGAATGAAGGCAAGACAAAAGGCCGGTACACTTTATCACATTCTGTTTAAAATGATGGCTGCTTCCTTTGCTTTCTTTATTTATACACGAACACAGAATCATAAAATCTACAAACCATTATAACAAAACTGAATTCATGAAGTGCGATGTGTGTGGTTTGTATTTTGAAGCTCTTTTAAAGCAGGAGTACATATTCATTTTAGCACTACAAAAACGCTATCAAAAAAAAACTATCCTACAACAGGCCTTTGTTCAGGTACGTGTTGACTATACTGGTTGGACTATTAATACACTCGTTTATAACTATACCAGCTCTATACGTTGTGATCACAAGGAAGAACCCCATCAAAATCTTTAGATGCATGAGACAAGCAGGTGCTGTAGCTATGGGCACCGCGTCATCGTAAGCGCTTGTCTTGTTTGTCATAATTCTTCCAAAGCTCTTCATGTGAAGCCATCTTCATCTTAGCTCTTATCGCTCACTGTTTCAAGAGGAGCTGCTCTACCGCTATCCATCAGTGGAATGGAAGAGGAAGGTGGTATTGATGAGCGCGTAACCAAATTTGTCCTACCATTTGGAGCAAATGTCAATATGGTACGTGATGCCAGTTTTGATTTCATCCAACTTACATTAACAGTTCTAGTTTGATTAACATTACATTACATTACCACATTATTTTGTTCAACTCTGGTTCATCTGGACGAAGGCGAACTCGCCGAAACGTTAATCTTATAAAGTTTGAAATCTTGCAAAGGTTTTATACTTACGTATTAGTCAAAGGTTATGCCAAGATTAAGAGAAGGTCGATCGTGGTATATTCTGGTTTATCAGTCTTGAAAAACTCCGTTTTTGAAGGCACCTCAATTCATTACAAACTTCGCATTCCTCCCATTTCTTCAAAACCGACTGTAGAAGCGATGCACGAGGTTCTAACTGTCACGGTTACATCTCCGATAAGTGGACATAATGTATTTTTGAACTGCAATACCCCCGATTGCAAAAAATGTAGCAGAAAGTGCGAACGATGCTCACGACCTTGTCCAGCCTAGGGAAGCATGGTATTTACATTTGGTTGGAGTGAAGGTGACGTTAAGAAAGCGCAACTATTCGCGCTATTTTACCAATAATGGTAACGGCTGCTACGCTACGTATGAGCGGAGGAATTCGCGGTATGTTAGTTGCGGTTAGAAGCGGTCGAAGTTGCCTATAAGGCTGGAAAATAGAGCTTTGCCACTAATCAGCGATTTTTTCCAAACAGGGGTTCGTGTTGAGAAAGAAAGGAAGTTGCATGGTTCTGTGAATTAGAGAAGGAGATCAATATTTCACGGCAAGCAATGGGGCGAATTATTACGTTTTCTACGATGCGAGTCGTTTCAGCACCTGCATGTGTGCGACTTGGTCTCCTTCAGACAGAGGTGTCTAAGGTATGAGAAAAAGTGTTGATGTGATCCAGTTGAAGAATGATCAGTAGTGGGTGTGGAAAACTGAGTGTGGCTTGAAAGATTTACAGGAGTGCTGCATCATCAGCGGATCAACTCACCCACCCCCCNCCCCCCCCCCCCCCCCCCCCCCCCCCCCCATCAATTTCGACTAGCTAGCTACCTACTCCTCTTTTGAAGTGATTGCGTGCGGCTTCCTTGCTCCTTTCTTTTTGCTTGACTGCTTCCCTTTTCAATGATGTCAACTACCAAACCCTTTTGACCGTCTTATATTTTCCTGATCGGAATTCGACGTTGTCAGACTTTGCTTCTTCGCCATGAGCATCGCTGTTGGGGATGCCCCTGTAGTAGCGTGAACGAAGTAACAACAGTAAAAAGAATTAACATACGGAACAGTTACTAGTTACTCATTTCAGGATGGATGCGCTCTTTATGAAGCCGTGGCGGTGATCTTCATAGCACAAATCAACCAAGTTCAATTGCGAGCAGATCAGATCATCACTATTAGGTGAGCTAAATACTCAGCACTTATAGATGGATAAACACTGTGGAGAGGTAACCTTCCTACTCATAGAGATGGAGGGAGTCCGAACGATTCTCCGAAAGGTTCCATTCATTCATTCAGCATCACGTCCACAATAGCGTCACTTGGCTTAAATGCAGTACCAGCAGGCCTTGTCTCTATCCTGCTCATATTGAGCACTGTCGGCCTGCCCACAACTGAAGTACCGCTGCTCTTCGCTGTTGATTGGTTACTGTAAGTTTTTGCTTGTGGGAGAAGAAGTTAACTCAGGTGGTCATGTTGTCCTACTTCCTCACGTTTAGATCTCACATTTGTCCTTTTTCGTGCCGAATTTATTTTGACAATGTTCTTGAAGAAATGGAGCCTGAATTAGTTAGGTTCATGAGTTCTTCCTGCAAGTAAGAGTGTAACGAGTGTGAACTCATCTTGTATGTTTAATGGGGACGGCTTTTTCGCCTCACTTTCGAGTTCGACGTAATGCTGAGTTTGATCTACGTGCCTATGATTTCTCGTTCCTCAAACTCAGCTGTAGTTCCTTGGCTGCAGATGATTTTTCACAGTATTGCTGTTAGCTTATCGTAGAAACTGCATGTGATCGCTCTTGAGACATTCAGGGATAGAATACGGACAGCATTGAACGTTATCGGCGACGGCTTTGCGGCAAGTGTGGTCGAGTATTTATTGAAGGTAACTTTGTATTACTTTGAAATGTTTCAAGCGTTTCCGAAACTTTATATTAACTGCACATGAGAAATCAATATCTTCATTTTCAGAAACACATGAAAGACTGTTCTCCTCTTCCAACCAGCGACATATAGCCTAATCGGATAGATCTCAAGAATTATCAGGATTTTGTAAATTTTATCAAAAGGCAGTATATTTTGCTTTCACTTGTACCCTTGCATGTTTGTATGTTCGTATGTTCAACGGGAATTTCAATATTACCTAAAAAATACCTTGAGAGGTCGGAACAAGTTCAGGATGGGTGGGGCCTGAGACGAAATCAACAGAGCACATATGAGCTCAGTGGAGCTCCGCTCACAGGGGCGGGCCAAAATCCGACATGTTCGGTGCTTGTAGCCGAATATCTTATTCCAGCTCAAAAAGGTCCAGACACCAAGAGCAAAAAAGACCTAGTGAAGATAGGGTCAACAAAGCAGACGAAAGATTTATTGACTCGTGACTCGACGTAAACGAAGGCGCAAAAAAGTAAAGGAAGTGCTAAAGACCCAATATGTGTGGGCATGCCTAACCCCAGTCTAAAAATCTATAACTCTGTTGAAAAGAGTTTTACAGCGCGGAAAAAAGAGTATGTGGTTAAATCTCCAAAGTGCGCAGGGTCTGCACCACGGTGGTGGTGCTAAAGCCGATTATTTAAGAACAAGATGGGAAAACCCATGGCAGGTGGCATATCAACCCATAGCTCCGCACACTAGGGGCTGGGCTTTCGCATCAATAGTTATTTTTAACCTGGGGCGTTCAAATTTGGCAGACATATAGGTGACGAGATGGGTAAACTATTGGCAGGTAGCAGATATAGATTCCGCCCACTGGGGGGCGCAGGTTGCGCGAAAATTTTTGATTTGGACCAGCTTATCATGATTTTTGCTTAAACTTCACCAAACAATATACATATTGGCCGAAGAGTCGATAAGTATGTCATCGAATGCCCACTTCGACGAGGGTGGATAAATGATCGAAGTGCAGATAAATTCCAGTTTCTTTTTTCAGTGGTATCCCACAATGGTGAGGGGTAAACGGGAAAGTAAATGATTTCAGGTTCCTTTTTCATTTTTTGGATTGTCTCGATTAATATATGGATAAACGAATGTAAATAGTTGCCAAATGCAGTTTGCTAAAGATGTGCGCTCTCGATGCTAAACGGCTTATTACGCTATTGGATGGGGTGGGAGAACGGTACTCGCCACATTTTTGGGAGAAAGTGGTCACTGTGTCGCTGAGACGATTACGCTTCAAGTTATCTCCGAGGAAATTCGTTTATCAAGAGCGATGAGACGCGCACGGTATCGTGCACAGGCCAGCTGGTAGTGAAAAAAATTCGTGACGCCACCCGATGAAAACGCAAAGATAAGAACACTTTTAAATCTCAAAGTCATCTTTTTGTTGGCCTCCTATCCACATCAACCCAACCGTGCCCAGCGAGGATGTGATGGAAAAACAACCCTAACCATGCGTAAGTTGAGAATTTGTTATACAAAAGCAATACATATCTGAATGTAGGTTAATGCAACTCCTACAGCCAAATGTCCCAGGCTCAGAAGCCAATGGGAATTCTGCAGTAGAGCACAAAGGTTTCCTTCCTTCAACTGCAGCATTCTCATTGGCTTCTGAGCCTGGGACATTTGGCTGTCGGGTGCTACTTTCATTTCAACCATCAAAGCTTTTGTATGAATGACATCCGTTGTAGGACTTTCATGCCAGAAAGGTCCACCACGAATGCCATCTCCACAACTAGACAAGTGAACAAGCAGTACCGAGAAAATCGTAGACCGTAGCCTTTCTTGATTGGAGAACGCGTTTGACCGTCTACATCAATCATTCCTCTCTCAAAACGGAATGTTCCTCGAAACCTGATTTTCTTGATCAAGGACACGCGTGATAGGTCCAAGACAAACATCCGCACCCCTCACGGTCCGATTGGAGCCGTAGACGTCACGTATTAGGTATATCTAAGATCAGTACTAGACCCGTTCCTCTTCTCCTACTTACACCGGATGTCATCGCAGAACAACTCTTGGATGGACCACTGAATCCTCTTCGCCCAGGTCAGGCTGCAGGAATGGCAGAATGTTCCAGCGGAGAACGGGCTCCGGCTAAACGTGAGAAGACCAAATTCCTCAGCTCGATGAACTGCGCAGAGCCAGTCGTAAGTTACATCGGGAAAGCTATTAGAGAGCAGGTCTTCCGATTTCTGTTGAGTGAGTTGCCTGCTGACGGAAGTGCAGACCAGGCTGTAAAAGTGTCAAACAATTGCGGCGTTGATGAAAGGGAGGGAGTCCAGCTGAGTATCTGCGACCAATGGCGCTCCAGGAGGCTCAAACGAATGTTATATGGAGCAGTGATGGATCCCGCGATGCTCTAAGTTGAGAGCGCTACCTGTAATCGAGAATCATGGAGCCAACTTCACTAAGCAGAATTGAGGACGTCGAGATGGGCTTGCGGTTGGACCCGACTGGATCAGAGACGAGTATTTCATAGCGATCATGCTAACAGCCCTTGTTTATCTGAAGATGAGAGAACTGTGCCTGCGATGGTGCGGGCACGCTCCAAGATCGTCATTGGTCCATCCAATAAGAAGGCGCCGGAGTTTGGAGGTCATGATCTGTCGGTAAAAGTCGCGCTAGAAAAACCTTGAGATTACCTTCAAGCTTCTTCTTTTCATTCTACCGATTTAGACTCTTCGGAAAGTGACCGCTATGACTCTTCATCATAATCACGAACAAACACATGAATACCTTAAATATTCGATCAAGACCACGAACTAAGGCCAAAAACCTGGAATTCATAAGTTCCCACACAAAATGCAAAATGCAGGGATATCATGAGATCCCACAACAAAGAGCAAAATTTTTGGTACCATTCACTGGAGACATTATGTAAGCCGCCCATTTTTTGGGCGGAAGACCCTCAGTGTGAGCCAAATCGGCGGTTCCGCAGTTCAGCAGTCTCGCAGTTCCACAATTTCACCGCCCTGCAGGCTATAGTATTCGATTCCCCGGTCTTCTCATCCTCCGCTCTTCAGCGACTCAGTGTTTAGGGAGGGCAGATAAGTGCATATATGACAACGAACAAGAACGGCGCGATTCAAAATCTCACCGGAGAAAAGCAAGGCGCAACGATTTGTTGACTGTCGCACCCATCCACCTCGAAGTCAAAACAATTATGGTTGTGCGATTATTAGAGCAACTTTTGTGATGGAACGAGGTTGTATGCTATGGCTTGCTAACATCATAAATATTTTAAAAAGAATATTGTCCTCGGGTATCATACCACCGAACCACCGAAACAGGGGCCTTACGTTCCTGAAACCTTCTCGATGAGGTTCAGGCTGTCTAACTACTCGAATGTCTGGTATTCCACGAAACGATGAGGAGAACAAGTACAGCACGTATGCATCAGTACTTCCAGGGGCACGGGGCGAACGTGCGTCCAAGGATGCGCGCGGCAACTTGCGCGGCAAAGTTCGTGACGATAATTACGACTCTGCCGTCAATTTTCGGGGCACAAACTCGAAGTGGAGTAGTTTAGTAGGATTAGATGATCCTTCTAATCTACTCTACTTCAGAAAACTTTATTTGTATAACTCCACACGAGGTTTACAATACCTTAATGGCTAACGTTTCGGTGAAACCACCTTCGTCGGAGCCTAAAAGTATGGAATCAGTTTATGAGATTACCCGATCAAAAATCTCCACCCCCAACAATATCTTCAAAACCAACTTGATCATCCTACAATTCTAGGAGGATAAAAAGTACCGTACCATCTTGGTGAGCAGAACCGGCCCTGAGCGATGCAGACTGGCTGCCTCGAGTTCAAAATTCACAGTGAAAGGCTAGCCCTATATAGGGGG